CTCACACACACACACACAGAGAGAGAGAGAGAGAGAGAGAGAGAGAGAGAGAGAGAGAGAGAGAGAGAAGTACTCATACATATTAAATAAATAGACAAGTAGGTACGTAGCTAGGTAAGTAGCTAGATGATAGATAAATTTTAAATACCCCAATAATCACTATATTCTTAATTTTTTAAATGTGTAATTTGAACATGGTGGCACAAAGAGACTATTCGGGAGACAGACAGGAGGCTTAGACTTCACAGGGACACACTGTGCCCCACCAACACGGTTTTCTGCTCTCCATCAAAGGACTGCCTTATTGTGATCATCACTCTCAAAATACAGTTTTCCTCATTAGCAGTTCCCTCTCCTCATTTCACTCCCCTATGGTGACCTCACCCTGTCTTCACCTGCCAACTTCCACCTGTACCAACACAGTCAAGTCTCCCAAAGACAGCAGAACACAGCAAGATGCACCCATCCCAGAACCTTTGTATCGTCACAGCTCTGGGAGTATCCCAATTCCCTTAAGGCCTTTGCTCAAGATCCCCTGCCCCACAACTCGATGGCCCTTTGCTCTCAGTGGTACCACCATCTGAAATGCCATGTGTGTCCCTTATTCACCTTTTGCATATCCATTCATGAATTTCAGGACATCAGTTTTATCATGAATATAAAATGTAGTAAGCCCTCAAAATAATATTGATGACTACACATTGAACTTTAAAGTTGGTAACACTGTCAGTCAACAGCATGGCAGGAACACAGGATTTCTGATTATGGCTGCTGGCCTGTATAAGATGAAACACTGGTTTCTTCTCCATTTCAAAACTATATGGACAGCATGTACCATTGTTTAGACCACACATTTTCCCACTAAATATGTCTAGTAAAAAGTACGTTCTTAAACAATTATCTAAAGAAGATAATGGGAGTGAAAACTTGTATAATGGAGTCCAGACTGCTCATTGCAAAATAGAAGCCCTCCGTGTTCTCTGCAAAGACCAGAAAGAATGGGCTTATTTCAGAATACCTAGGTATGATAACAATGATCTGCCACCTGGCATCATACAATTATAAGTCTGAAATCACATAACATGCATAAATGGTCTTTGATGTGTTTTGTCTTCACATGCTGGAAAAACAAAATACGATAAGGAAACTAATGTCACAGACCCACCTCATCATGAATCAGCTCCAGCGGCTCTATCATATACATGAAGGTGTTGTCCTCAAACATGCCACTGCAACACAAGACACCGGAAGGAGAGTCAGCAAGTGTGGCAAACAGTAAGGACTGGCAAGCAGGCATCTCAACAGTGTCATTGAAGAGTGCTTCCGGGCAAATGTCTTCCTACAGTCCCAGATAAACTCCAAGTAGCTTCATGGAACCCTGTCATGGTCTCAGCACTCCAAGGACTCTGCTAGGCAGCACACAAGCTACAAAAGCATAAAGCATTCCCCCAGAGCACGCAAACTCTACATGACATAATTTACTTTTAAAAATAAACCAATGACAACACTGATCTGGAATAAGATTTCTCACATCATGGGTACAGGAGGAATGGCTTATTCCAGAACCATATGCAACTAGAACAAATATCTTGTTATGTATCACCTATGAGAAATCTGACCACTCCATCTTCTAAGAATATTCTAAAACCATCTCTGATTCTGAAGAGGCTGATAGAAATATCTCTACACTTATAAATTGTGATGCCTATTGAGCAGCATGCCATAGAAACCACATTTAACTTAGGGAGACATGAGATTTTAAAAAAATAAATAAGTAAAGTCTGAAAAGGTTTTTAAGACCCCTTTTGGTTTCATGGCTAAAGCTAAATCTTCATCTGAGGCACCACTTGATTTGGATCTGAAATGTGTTTATGCCTGGTTTCAAAGAGTCTGCCTCTGGAGGATGCAAGAGTTCCTCTTAGCATCCCACCCTCCCCTGGCTGATGCGTAGTTAGACTTAGATCAAATGCTACTGATACGACCTTTGATACAGACCTGTAGGTGATGCATCAACTAAATTGAGTCTGTTAGCTCCCTGCTGGAGCTGGGTCTTAAATGCCCCAGCAAGACAACTACTAAGGATCTGATTACACACCAGAGTGGTGCTATTATTGGGAGGTGATGAGATCCTCATAAGGTAATCATCACGAGCCTTGTAAGAATTCTTTAGCTCATGGCAGGGGTAGGGAGGAATGCCTTGCAGTGGGTATTGTAGGGCTATAGTCTCCTCCTCACTCCTCTCTCCTAGTCATGAGCAGCTTTGGTTTACTACACACATTCAATCCCCAGTGATGTGATTCCTCACAAGTGGCCCCAAGTAATGAGGCCAGCCCATCAAGGAGACAAACCTCCAAATCTTGAGCTAACATAATCTATTTCTCTTTATAAGGTGATTGTCTCAGGAATTTTGTTCCAGTAACAGAAAGCTAATTGATACATCCCTACCTATCCCCTTCAAAGCATCAACCAAAATGGGAATTACTGATCTATGCAATCATGTGTTTAATTTTTGAGTTTCCTACAAAGTCAGGTATTAGAGAAATGGGAACTTTAGCTCCCTGGAACTACTCTGTATCTATCTAATCCCCAATACATCACTGACATAGAAAAGTCACTAAGATAGAATATCTGAAAAATAAAGACTAGAAAGAATGAGAGGGTATGAGCAAGCCTGGAGGTCAGGAGGACCCAAGTAGATTCCCACATACTGGAGTCCATTGCATGTTGACAAAGCCACCCTGGAGTCTTTGACACCTCTGATGCTTCCGTGGTAGTAACAGTGCTCTCCACCCTACAAAACAAAGAATGTCTTATTGATTGATTGTATCTTACACGCTGATCACTGGATTTCTGATAGTTTCATAGAGAATGGCCATCAAGGATGAGAATGAATCTGCAAGAGAAATTCCTACTCTTCCAAGTCAGAAATAGGGCTGGACAAGCATTAAGCATAGCAATTTTTATGTATTTAACAGAGGAGGAAGGGGCTTTATAGGGAATAAAACCAATGTAAATGATAAAGCTCACTTGCATTTCTTAGGCATGTATTATAGAAGTAGTTACAAACAGATGTGGTTACGCAGCAGTTTCCTGTCTCCTTTTCATACCACAGTTCTTCCAGATGTTTCTTCTTGTGTTTATATGCATTTTAAGTAGAACCTTTATACTGCTATAATCTGATTCACCCCACTTGAGAAATTATCTTCCTAAGGCATTCTCCACATTATCAAAACAGAAACATAAACAACAAGCCAACCACAACTCTTTATCTACAATAGTGTACTACCTCCAAGATAGGCTAGGGCAATAATGGGACAAAGCATGTGGACGTCACCAACTCTTTAAGTAACTGATTTTACTTAAAGCCCACTCCACAGGATGGAACCCATACCTGACACTGCTTGGGTGATCAAGAATCTACGACTAGATAGCCCAGGGACCTAGGGTAAAACCAAACAATACTCATCTAAGAAGAAGAAGAAGAAGAAATGCAGTGATAAAACAATTCTTAATGATATTCTACTAAACTCATAGTCATCAGTGCGGTGTTCAGCCATCATCAAAGAAGCTTCCTCTTGCAGCAGATGGGAACAAATATAGAGACCCACAACCAGACATTTTGCAAAGAGTAAGAGACCTTCAAACACTCAGTCCTAAAGGGGATGTTTCCATCCAATCCCTCCCCTCAGAGCTTAGAGAACACTGCTGAAGAGGAGCACAAAGAAATGTAATAGCCAGGGAGGGTGGAGGACACCAAGAAAACCAGGCCCTTTAAATCACCATGAGAAAAGCTCATATGAACTCACAGGGACTGAAGCAGCATGCACAGGGCCTGCACAGGTCTGCACCAGGTCCTCTGTGCTTACATCATGGTTTCCAGTTCAGCATTTTTTATGGGATTCCTGAGTGTGTGAAGGAGTGGGTCTCTGATTCTTGTGCCTTCTCTTGGGCTCTTTTCCTTCTGTAGATTGGTCTTGTTCAACTTCAGTGTGATAGTTTGTATTTTATCTTATTATATATTATTTTGTTATAGTTTTTCAAAAAATGAATGAATGAATGAATGAATACCTAGCCACTGGGGTAAAGGTTAACAACTAAATATAACTCATACTTGCTGAGAGACAGAAATTCATTTTTCTCCAATGGAGGGACACTGGGTATATATATCAACTACTCCAGGGAAGGCCTCATGTTCAAGAATCCAACATATAATGAACTCCTCAGTTTTAGTATGCTTTTATTTGGTTACAGTTTTCTGTTGTTTTCTTTTTGAGTGATGTTCTATTCTGTTTTCTTGTTTTGAGGGGTTTTGTTGTATTTGATTTTTGTTTGGTATTTGAGAAAGACCTTAAAGAGTGGGTAGGGAGGGGTGGAGGATCTGGAAGGGCTCGTGGGAGGGGAAGAATATGACTACATATATTTCAATTTAAAATTGTTTTAAATAATAAAAATATAATCAAAAGAGAAATCATAAACAAAAAGGTATGCAATCATTGTATTTGTATTATATATCAATAAAATTGATGTTAAAATAAAAATTAATAAGAAAGTACCTCTACGCTATGACTTTGTTGATATATTACTAGACATTATTTAATTTCATTCATTTAACAAAAAGAAACATCTCTACTCTCCCAATAGTCCACTCAAATAACAGTGACATAAAAAGCCACATAAGGTCACAAGGATAGAGGGCAGAGTAAAAGAGCTGGAAGGAAGGGTGCCCGTGACGGTGCAGGGGATAGACAGAAGGCTGGTGAGAGTGACCCTCTTCATTTGAGGTTTTGAGGTGAAACCAAAAGGAAGCAAACCATCAATTCATTTTTAAGATTTTTACAACCTTTGTGTCTATTTAATCATCTCAGCTGCTTTGGCAACATTCAATCTGTCAGTGCTTATGAGTTTCACAGTCTGAGAAACTCAGGTAAACCTGGACATTGACAGTGACTGAGCACTGAGACCCTCAACTTGGTACTGAAGGTCCTGTAACATTTATAGATAAGTGACACAGCCCATTGTGAAGAACTGTGTAGACTAAGAGAGTTAGACTTGGAATATACTGAAATGAAGACTCTACCCTCGAATGATTATTCCAGGTATGGGTTTTGTTTTTGTTTTGAAATTTTGCCTACTAACAATATAGACCTGCCTGTTTTAGAAGTGAGCGACCTATGTCTATGTCAATATGCCTATGATTATGTGGACCTGGATTTGCTGAAGAATAAGAAAATGAAAAACTACATTCAGAGAATTAAGGAGTTGGAGAATCCAACACTAGTTTAATAATTTACCTTTATTAAATTCAGCAGGAAAATGAGTTCTTCCAGTAGGATATTGATAAAAAGTGTTGGGCCACCTCAGCTCCGCCAATGCCACATAACTTTAATATTTCATATTAATTATATTGTTCAAACTTAAAATAGCTTTGTAAGGAGCCAATATTGTCTGCTAGCTCAACTTCATAGGGCGATTTTTAACCCCATGTTACTTTCATATTCTAAAATGTTTTCAGAATATGGCCAAAAAAGGGCATTATTTTGATTGATCAACAATAGCAAGCTGAAGTTTAATCTGGAAATTTTAATGACTTTAATTTTATACCTAATATAAATGTTCCAGCACATGTAATTTTTTTCCTGGTATTACTTAAAATGTTTTTTACCTACAGTAAGAAACTTTTATGCTAGCTACTAATTCAAAGACTTCAAAAATATTGTAATAAATATACACATAATAAAAGACTCATTTAAATTTGTTGTAAGTGTAGAAATCCAAACTTTCTGGTTAGGAACAAAACATAAAAATGAGAACTTTTCATTCCAAATGTGACTGAGAGGTAAGAAACAGAGAAAAACAGTCAGAAAATTCATTAAATGATAATCAAGGAAGAGGTAGTGGGGAAAGAGGAAGGGGAAGGTGGAGGAGGCAAGCAGAGAAAGAAACCAGAGAAGAAAACACAGGACTGAAACTGTCCTGCCCAGTACAGGTGCCCAGCTCAGTTCTAACAGCTGGTGGCAGTGCCCACGCCTCCCTATCAGGAACACTCAACCTACAGCACTCTCAGGGTCAGTGTCTGCAGATTCAACCACTAGCATGATGAAGAAACTTAGCAAAAACAACTTTTTCTAAGCTGAACATGTACAAAGCTTCCTAATGCTGTGACATGTGAATGCAGTTCCTTATGTCGTGGTGACTCCCAACCACACAATTACTTTTATCACTGCATCATAACTGTAATTTTGTTATAAATCATAATGGAAATGTCGGATATGCAGGATATCTGACATGCAACTCCTGTGAAAGGGTCATTGACCCCCCCCAGGTTGAAAATCGCTGTTTATATTCTAAACAGCTATTTGCATGCATTCATATTGCGTGGGGTTTTGTAAGCTGGCGATTACCTAAATGATCCAAGAGGATGTGTGAGGTACACAAATCCAACCATATTTTATACAGGTAACTTGAGCATCCATGGACTGGAATATACCTCTGTCAGATCCTGGAACAAATCCTTCCAGGATAGCAACGGATGACTATAGCCAGGATCCTTGAGGCATTCACTCTCCAAATACCCCCAGGAGAGCAAGGGATGACTCTAGTCGGGGTGCTCAGGACATGTGCTCTCCAAATCCTTCTGCTCTACATCGATTCCACTTCCACCCAGGAATCTATCAAGGAGCCACTCTTCCAGATGTCATCCCTGGAATCCTGCTGCCACAGCCCTCATAGACACCGTGAGCTTTGGGCAAACCAAGCTTATATGTGACAGGAAAAGCACCAAAAACAATGCAGTAAAGAACAAGGTGAGAATAAGCCTTCTCCCCATGGGCTAGGATGTATCTCTGGCTCCCTGAAGCATGTGCTCTACCTAAAACAGAAACTAGGTCAGAGTAAGAGTTGAACTGACATTTTTGTTGAGTGTGTGTGTGTGTGTGTGTGTGTGTGTGTGTGTGTGTGTTATAGAATATGATGCTTTGTCGTGTATAATGAAATTATTGTTGGTCAAGCCGACTGGCGTGTCTTTTCACCCCCACATAGTTGCTCTTGTGAGTACCTAGGAAAGAACATTGAAAATCTACTCCCTCAGCAAATTTCCACCATGTGACAGTGTCATTGACAACAGTCCCCATACTGCACACCACATTCTACACCTATGTCCTATATAATTGGTAAGTTTTACCTGCATCTCTCCATTTTCAGCCCTGATGCCTGACCCCTAACCCAAGAAACCACTGTTCTACTCTTTTTAATGTTTTTACTTCTTTAGAATCCACATACTATCCCTATGGAGTCTTTTTCTTCCTGTGTCTACATTATTTCATTGTATATAAATGCAATGGAATAGTATTCATCCCTTAAATGGAGATGCCACCATTTGCAACAACATGGATGAACCTGGAGTACGTACTGAACCACTGGCTAAATTCATATTTAACATAGGAATCTAGTCCTAAGTATATATGAATACACCCTATATTCTTTATTCATTCATCTACTGATGCCTGATGTTGCCTGCATCTCTGGACTATTGTAAATAATACTTTTGTAAATATCTATGAGCCTGTTTCTATGTGGACATGTTTTTGTCTGGTTGTGTGTGTGTGTGTGTGTGTGTGTGTGTGTGTGTGTGTGTGTGTGTGTGTGTGTCAGAGAGAGAGAGAGAGAGAGAGAGACAGACACAGAGACAGAGACACAGAGACAGAGACAGAGACAGAGAGAAAGAGAGAAATAGAGAGAGAGGAAGGCATGTGTGGGGGCCTATATACATGTCACAGAAGCTACAGTACGACATCAGATGCCTTCTTCTATGGCTCTCCACCTTATTGCCTTGAGTCAGGGTCTCTCACTAAACGAGCAGTTTGCTGATTTAGCTGAGCTGGCTGGCCAGGGAACTTTCAGGATCTTCCTGACTCCATTCCCCAGTGTTGGGGTTACAACCACACACAGATACAGTTGGCTTTTTAAATGAGCACTGGGGCTAAACACTCACGTCTCTATATTTGTAGACAAGTTCTCTTGACACCAAACCAATTCCATGGTCCCATGGACATACATTTTAACTCACTTGGAAATACACCTAAGATCATCAGAGAAATGCAAAATTAAACTACAGTGAGGTATACCTCACACTTACGAGAATGGCTATTGGAAAAAAAGGCAAGGAATATATTTTGGAGTGGCTTGTGGGAAAAAAAAAGAAACATTCATAGCATATCGGTAGAACTACAATTCAAGAACAGAGATCCATCAAAAAATAGAAAGGAACTCTAAATCTCAAAGAGACAGATGAACTGCACGTTCATCTCAGCTTCATTCACATCGTCAAGCTGGAGAAACTGAGGGATGCATGAATGGAGAAATGTGTCCACAATGGAATATCACCCAGCCTTGGAAGGAGGGAAATCCTGCCTCTGTGCAACATGGTGAGACACTGTGCTAAGTGGAATAACCCAGCAGAGAAAGAAAATGCTGCATTGACCCTTGCAGATAGCATGAGAGAGAGTCAAGCTCATGGAAGCAGAAGATAGAACAGTGGTTGTCAGGGAAAAGGGGTGACTGAGCAGATGAAGAGATGCTGGTCAAAGTATACAAAGCTTTAATTGTGCAAGTGGAATAGATTGTGAAGACAGAAAATGCCAAACAGTGACTACAGTTACTACATTATGTTCTTAAAATCTGCTGTGAAGTAGATTTTAAATGGTCTCCCTAACAAAAATAACTACACAAAGTAGAGAATGTGCCCATCAGCTTCAATATGCCTATCATTCCCCCAGTGTACACAAGTCAAAGCATGACACTTGGCACAACCCAACTATATAATATTTTTATGTATAAAATCTAAGTTGCACATCTTAAATACACAATTTGCATTTTTCAATTATACTTCAATAAAGCTGGGAAAAAAGACACCACTCACAAAGGACCACATATTATAGGATTTCATTTATGTTCCAAATAGGCAATTTATAGAGACAGAAAAGTAGATTAGCAGTTACCTATGATGGGAAGGAGAGCCGCTAGGGAATGACTGCTAATAGATAAGACGTTTCTTTGTGGGGTGATGAAAAATGTTTTAAAATTAGATTATGTTAATGGATGCATAATTTTGCAAATATAGTAAAAACAATTTAATTGTGCACTTTACAGTATATAAATTATGCCCCAATAAAACGTGTTTAAACCAAAGAAAACATAAATAAGTTGTCTTTTAAATGAGTAAAATGAAATCCACAAAGTTGCTTTATTATATATTGTATTGCACTTCGTGCAAGGAGCAGTGGAAGGAATTTCAATAAAAGCTGCTTGGCTGGGCACACAAAAGAAGCTGCTCTGTGCACATTAGCAAACATCTATCTAGTACCTACACTGTGAACTTGATTTTTTTTTGTCTCTCTAATTCCTATATTTATTCTCTTTTCAGCCCACTTTCATCCATCAGAAGTAAAAGATATTAACCCCATCTAGGAATGGGAATGAGGGACTATTTGGAACAGGGAGATAGAAAGACTGTAACAGTGTGCTCAGAGACCCCATGCATCAGGATTTTCATATTATACCCCAGATCAATTTAAGTATCCACATCTATATTTTACCTCGTGGCCCTCATACGTGGTTTATGATTCCAGGCTGCTGTAGTCAAATAACAGCCCGCAATGGGTGAGGGGAGTGTTTGTGTATATACCTTCCTTTGTCTAAACAGAACAGTATCTTTTGTATTTTATATTATATATATAAGGTGTATATGGCAAGTGGGGTGGGAACACGCATGTGAATGTAGAATCCAGAAACGGGCATTAGAGTCCCTGAAGTTAACATTACAAGCAGCAGTGAAGCATCCAGCATGGGTGCTAGGAACCAAACTCAGCTCCTCTGCAAGAGCCGTACATATTCTTAACCACTGAGCCCACAGTGAGATCAACTTACATAGCAGGTAGAAACCTTGCCACTCCTACACATTAACTTCCCTCTCTGGTATTCCTCACAAAAAAAAACATCATAGAAGCCAATCTCCACAAGGTTCACTTTTTAGATGCTTTTAAATTTATGTGTGTAATGGGAAGGTGAATTTATGCAAAATTACGCATAATTTTAGAAGCAAATGTTATCATTAGGACCAAAAGTCATAAAATATATACAACTCTTTGATCCAACGAGTCTTATTCTTAAAATGAATTCTTCAGCAATTACAGTGTATTTAGACTGCATCTGGGAAGTTTTTCCTTAGGACGATCATGAGGGAAGGCTGGAAGCAAAGTAAATGTCTGTGGCTTGATATTTTTAAATAAATAATAACAAACAGGCTAGAAGGACATTATGTAGTTTTTAAAAAAATAATGATCCAATAAAAATATAGGTTTCATGCCTGCTAAAGCATTTACACTGTCATTACAATTTATGAATCCTGCATAGATGGTGTGTATGGTATCTTCTTGGAGCTTAAGGATGTGTGTGTGTGTGGATGTGTGTGTACATATATGTAAAAGTCAGGATATCACCATTAGGTTGTTACCATCAACTCATTATCTATTAACAAGTAAATTTGAAACAGATCGTAAATGAAAGAAAACAGATGGACACAAAATCAAACTACAGTGACCATAGCTTCTCTTGCCAGAGTTGATGTAGCTTTTGCTTTAAATATGGTACAACCACAGGAGGTTTGGACTATCTTACTAATAAAAAAGCCTCATTTGGGTTACCTCAAATGAACTCTGTATGCCAATTAGCTATTGTACTTCTTTAAAAAAAAAAAAAATGAGCTTCTTAGAGAGAAGTTTGGGTCAGGTTACTGAGACTGCAAAGGTGCCCCATTTGCTGAGTCTGAAAAGTCCTTGTGTGATCTCCTCCAGGTTCATGAGTCAGCACCCGCAGTGCTCAGAGCACTGGTGCAGCTGATAACAGCATGGTTTTGCACAAACGCCAGCAAACACCGCTCCCGCACTTCAGTTGGCACTGCTGGTCCCCTTCCATGGCCTTAGTCTCTGGGGATTCGAAACTCCCAGATGCAGCTGGAGGAGAACGCTGACAGTGGGAAGTCCCTGGTCTGTGCAAACAACTTAAATGCCAAAGGACACTGCAGATGTGCCCACTGCTAATTGGACAGACCCGCACCATGGCCGTGGGCAGTTTTTCTAATTACAGCCACCCATCAGCATGTGCTGAGGTGATATGGCCTGGGAATCCCAGTTCTCCTTGCCTCACAGATCTGCAGATCTTCCTTGAAAGGCACTGCTGCTATGCTGATGTTCATTAGCCATCTGTAAAATACAAATTGTTTCCCCCATTGCTTGTTTCTTGCTTGCTCCTGCATTCCTGTGGTTTACATGGGCACTCCTGAGCCTCAGTGGCACTGGGACAGACACGAAAAAGTCAGAATTTCTTTTCTTTACCCATTTCACGGGTTTCCTGCCTGACTGAGGGAAATCACTATTTGGCAAGAACTACCGGCAATACCTCTCTTGCTTTCGTTTAACCCCATTTGTTCTGTATTGGTTCTTCAGGGTCAGAAGAAAAGATCATCTCCACCTGAAGAATTTCTGGTACCCAGTTACCTTTAGGTTACAGCCTGTGGTGGCCCTGATGAGCAGGTTTATTGTCTTCTCTATGCCTCTGTGTTTTTTGTTTTACTATAGGAATAAGAATACTCACCTCATGGACCTGTTGTGACGGTTAAGTGGGGGCAGGCCTGAGTTACAGCTCAGGGATAGGGCATTGCCTAGCATGCCCAAGGTCCCAAGTTTGGTCCCCGGCAAGAAAAAATAAATAAAATAAATAAAATGATGAATTAAAGCTGGGTATGAAAGTGCATGCCTGTAATCTCGGCCTTCGGGAGACTAAGGCAAATGAACCTCAAGTTTGAGGCCAATCTGGGTTACACGCTTCAAAAACAGGAGAAAAAGAAGAATATGCCCCCCCAGATCTCATTTTCCCACCTGTCTTTTACTCTTGGGCATAAGGCACTTACACTAAATCATCACAGTAAAAGAGTTCACTCAGTCTTTTTTTTTGTTTTTTTTCTCAAGACAGAGTTTCTCTGTGGCTTTGGAGGCTGTCCAGGCTGGCCTTGAACTCACAGAGATCTGCCTGCCTCTGCCTCTGTGCTGGGATTAAAGGCGTGTGCCACCACCGCCCAGTGAGTTCACGCAGTCTTACAATTCTGATTCTATGGCCCTGAAAGCTTGACTGAGCATTCCTAATCAAAAGTCTCCAACACTCTGAGCACCAGCATTGCAGTAGAAGCGGAAAATTCTACACCAAGAAACGGGTTCATAAACAAAATTATCTAAAATGTACTAAATACCTTCAAGCTGTGTGTACATGGGGTAGGTGAAACATAAATGAATTCTGTGTTTAAACTGGAACCCTATCCCCAAATATCACTTTGTATACACAAATACTTTTTAAAAAATTAAAGCCAAAAGACTTATAGTCCCAAGTATTTTTTAAAAAGGGATAGCCCAGTGTACTTATGGTGCTGACGTGGATCAGTGAAGCTCACTGATCATGCAAAAAGATAATGGATGTGAAATCAAAACAATAAAATTCCCTTATGGTCCTTAGTATAGAGAATCTAATGTTGCCTCAGCGTTTTAAGTGCTCGTGAATTCTTCCTCAGTAAATCAGGTCCCTTGCGTAGGAGGCCGGGTGATCTTATTGACAGACATCAGGATAATGCTGTGTGTGTTGGTCATATTCTAGGATGAATATATGTTATCTTGAAAGACATCTGGCCACTTTACTATACCTTAGAGTACATCGGTTTCCCATTTTCATAGTGAATCTCCACGTAGTCAGAAGACAGCAAACCACTGAAAAGAAAAGGAGACAGAGTGATTTCTGCATCCAAATGTTCAATAAATGGATGGGAAGAGCATGGAAACCATAGACCTGCAGTCGGGGCAAAGCAGGCTGCTATCAAGTCTCAAAACAGCATACAGAAAAAAAGGAAAACCTTCAGTCTACTGAGAGGGATAAAACAGGTAACTTTAGGGAAACCTTTAGATTCAACACCTAGTGGACATGGCAGTTTAAACTATGAAACTAAGCTGCGTGTAGAAGACAAGCCCTATTAAACACACACAATTATGCTCTAATGGAATTTTTTTTTAAGTGTGGATCATTGGGGAGGAATACAGAAAAGAACTGGCAAGCATTCCCCATAAAGACCAGATAGTAAACACGATGTCTCTGCCAGCTGTGTGGTCCCTGCGGCAACAATGATCCTGCCATCCTGTCAACAAGATATAGACAGATGAGTGTGGCTGTGTCCCAGTAATGGTTTATTTATGGAGAATGATATTTGGATCACATGCAATTCTAAATACTAGGAAAGAGTATTATTTTGAATTTTTAAATCCATTTAAAAATGCATAGGGCCATCAAGATGGCCCAATGGATAAAAGCACTTGCCACACAAACCTAACAACCCTAGTTCAATCCCCAAATCCCACAATGGAAAGAGAGAACTGGCTACTGAAAGATGTCCTCTGACCTCTGGCACACAAGCACCTACATGAGCACACACACATATTCTGCATCACACCCAAAAACACAGTACAAATCAAATTTTAATTTAAAAACTTAAGAACACAAACTTGCAAGTCACAGCAGGGTTTAGACATAGCACAGTCCACAGATAGAGGTATCATCATGAGCAAGTTTCACTAACTTGTGTAAAATGAGATTGTCAAAAATATGAAAGTCATTAGGACACTGTGAAGACTAAATTGATTAAGTTAAACCACAAATATGCAGAACTTAGCCTAGAAACCAGGACTGGGTACTCAGTGTTAGGCACTGTGACTGTCACTAGTGTTGCTTTAACTCAAGTTTTTAAAATGTATTGTCCCCCTATAAACGTGGGAAATAAGCACTTTGTCATGGAGAGCAGAGGAAGACTTGAATGCATGTGTATTACTGATAAGGACTAATGCCTCAGACCCCTGGGAATGGGCAAAGCCTTCCTCTGGTCTGCTTGGAAATGACAGTGTGTACAGAAAGTGTCCAGCAACTTCATCCTCCTGTTTAGTCACAGCTGGAGCCTTCTCACCTAATAGAGGCCTCCTACTGAGACTAACACCTTCCCTCTATGCAAGCACAGCACACCTGATTCCAGGTTTCCTGTGCATTTATGTATCTGTCCTTTCTTCATTTATCCCTCTACTCAGGTTTCCAGAGCTGAAGGCAGGGCAGGGTGCGATGTACCCACCAAAGAGCACTGGATTAGGATCTGGGTGTTGAAGGAGACTCCAGAACAGTGTGGCTCCCTCCTGGATACCTGGATTAGACACAAACCACACCCAAGCACCTGTTTTCACAGAGAGATCCTTTATTAAGTGAAGAAGAAAAGATCAAGTGGCTGCTTTCTGACTTTGGCAGCAAAAGACCTTACAGGTGTCATTTTTAAGAAGAGAAAGGGGGGAGGTCTGTGTTAGAATGGGCAAAGCTGTAGAGATAAGGAGATAAGGGACAAGGGAGGCGGGAGAAGAAGAAAGGGGCAAAGGTCAGGGGAAGAGGTGTTTGTCCTGGAGGGACAAAGGACTGTCTGTGAATAGAGGGAGAGACATGGCACATAAGCAAACATTGCTTTATAAAGATGAAGGGAGGAGGAAGCCTGTGTTAGGATGGGGTGTTTAATTTTAACTGAGAATATTAATTAGGTGACCCAAAAGAGGCTTCTGATTGTTGGACTTTGGTAGTCAGCTTCAGGAGCAGGAAGGAGCCAAATAAGGGAAGTGACCTTGGTATCTAGCTTTAGGAACGTAGTCTAATGGTTTTTAGCAGGGCAGAGGGAATGGGAGAGAAGGGCAAGGCCTGCGAGATCTATACTTGTCATGGTCAAGTTGGCCAAAGTCCCTTCAGTGTCTGTCCAGATCTGCCACCAGAAGTAATGACAGGAGTGTCAGCTCACATTTATTATTCTATATAGGAACTAAGAACTCTTCTCCAAGCCACTTTTATGCCCTAGATGTAGGGCTTTGTTTCCTCTTCTACAAAATGCAAGGCTGCAACAGACAGTTCTTCAGGTCCCATCCTGCTCAGGCATACCGACTTTCTAGAAGTCACTCTTCACAGTAGGTTTACTTGTAAAGAAACATCAAAGTACTGTGACTGAAGAATAGGAGTCGAGATGATGTGGTTCTGCGTGTTTTTCAGAGCAGCACCTGATGTGTCCTGCGGTGATCCCATAGGAGGCTCCCGAAAGGGTGCTCAGAGCCTGCTGACACTTAGGTAGGAATCTCCCCTGCAGCTAGCATGTCCTGTGTGCACCAAAGGACAGGTTTTACAACACAAATAAAATAGTATCTGTGGTGGTTTGAGTGCCCCCCATAGGCTCATATGTTTGGATATTTGGTTCCTAATTGGTGAAATTGTATGGGAAGGACTGGGAGGTGTGGCCTGGTTAGAGAAGATCACTGGGAGTGGGCTTTGAGGTTTCAAAAGATACATGCACACACTCATTCCCAATGGGTTCTCTCTCTCTCTCTCTCTCTCTCTCTCTCTCTCTCTCTCCCTCCCTCCCTCCCTCCCTCTCTCCCTCTCTCTGTCCCCGACTTGAAGCCTAAGATGTAAACTTGCTGTAACTATTGCTGTAACTGCTCCACCATCATGAACCCCAAACCCTGACACAGTAATCCCAGTTTCTTTCTTTCTTTTCTAAGGGTGGTCATTGTAGTTTTTGTCACAGGAACAGAAAGGTAACTAGACAGTATCTGTACTTAGACATGTTTTCATGTCCACCCAAGAGACCCCTTACAAAAAACTGTAAGGAGTCTCATTCACATCATTCACACCAGCTCTCAGAACTACTAGTTCATCTGACTAGTCATGACAGCTAATGCTGGTCACCATGCAGACCCTCAATTTTACAAGGCTTCAGCACACTACACCAGTTCCCAGCATTGTCCACCATGGTCTCTCACTGGAATCTGGGCTCATTAACTCAGATAGGCTGGCTAGCCAGCAAGTCCCAGGAATTCTCCTGTTGCCACCTCCTCCAGCATATCCTCATTTGGAGCTTGTCGTACAAAGATGCTAGGGATTGAAGACAGGTCCTCGTGCTTATGAGGTAAGAACTTCATCCACTGAGATGTCTCCCACTACCCACTTGGGATATTTTTAATTCACCAAATGATTACTTCCTTAACTGGTAATGAAGACAATCACAGGAATTTCGGTTAATACATTCATACAAGCATAAGCTTATTACCTACAACGATGCATCTGCCCTTATATTGCTTTTTTGTTTTGTTTTGTTTTGTTTTTTAAGCAATAGATTTAAAAGTAAAATGGTCTGTCAATTGCTATTTTTCTCAGCTGTAGGGGGTGAAGTGTAATCCTTTAAGTGTAAACAATAAAATAAGAGTTTAAACTAGGTTAAAAGATAGAGACATGGAGAGGCTGGCATTTAAGAGTACAGCAATGATATGCCAGGTGGGTGAGAATAATTACAGGTTAAATAGAGGCTTTGTGTTAAGTTAGACAAAGATGGCATGCTAGGCAAAGGCATAGTGTGGGCATAGTTCATAAGAACAGAGCTGAGCAGAGAACAATCCTAACAAGAGTAGGGTGGAAAGGAGCAAGGGTTTAAGCCACTGAAGGCTTACAAGAGGGATTTGATGACTTCCTCAATGACATGGGAGGTTATATCAGAAATTTTACAGCATAGGTGCTCCTTACATCTCCAGTGATGAGCCCATGTGCCATAATACAGTTTAGAAACCTAGTATAAGGAGAAGAAATACAGGGCTGCGACTTCAGAGTGGAGGGAGAAAGGGAAGAGGAGTTAGATGAAAACATGACACGGAGTTTAAGTGTATAGTGTAAAGGTAGAGAATCTACACTGAAAGGGACTAATCAATCCCCATGATCCAACTCCTTTCTAGGAGGTGGCTTCGAAGCACATGAAGCAGTTAAATGACTGTGTGGCTACCAGTGTGTCCATGAGTGTCAGCCAGGATCTGTCATCAACCTGACCAGTGGCATTCCGTCCAGAAGAAACAGCTACTCCAAGTCTAGCCCTTACCAGTCCTAGGAAATAGAGTACTCCCTCTTTTAATTTTCAGCCTACTAGAAACAAACAAACAAAAAACAATAACAAACAGAAGAAAACACCCACACTTCAGTCATGCCATATTCCAGTCTTCCGGGGCTTGAGGGAAATGGCCCAAAGAATAAAAAGAAGTCAATGGAAAAAACTATCATAAATAAGGCTGGAGAAACAGAAAACTATCAGAAGTGGGGCTCAGTGGTTAAGAGCACTGGGTGCTCTTCTAGAGGACCCAAGTTGGATTCCCAACACCTACATGACAGCTTACAACTATCTGTAACTCCAGTGCCAGGGTTCCCGACACCCTCATACAGACATGCATGCAGGCAAAACACTAACGCACATAAATAAAAAAATATATATGGCTGGTTTCCAGATAAATATGAAGCACACATTTCTATGTAAACCACTAAAAACAATATCAAGATAATATGGGGAGAGAGTTTCCTGAATAATAATAAACTTTACATACACATAATACCAACATTCATATGTTAATACTTAAATACCTTAAGAATAAACAAAGGCCGGGCATTGGTGTCGCATGCCTTTAATCCCAGCACTTGGGAGGCAGAGGCAGGCGGATCTCTGTGAGTTCGAGGCTAGCCTGGTCTCCAGAGCGAGTGCCAGGATAGGCTCCAAAGCTACACAGAGAAATCCTGTCTCAAAAAAAAAAAAAAGAATAAACAAGTGTAAATATACAGAAAGGATATAACAGAAAATCCTTAGTTTAAAAAAATATAAAAGAAGTCATGGCCG